GAAGACAAGAGCAAGCCCAGCTCCCACCAGGTGCAGATCTCTGCCAGTTCCCTCTCCTTCATGCCCAACAGGCGGCTGGAGGTGCCTGGCTTCAACTGTCCGCCAATGCTTCAGGACGGCTGGTTGGTGACCCTTCTCTCATCTTTCAACTCCCACTCCTCTCTCATCTGTGCAAAGCCTAAGTCCTATAATAAGCCCCTTAGTCCATAATACTCATCGTGGTTCTAATTCCTGATCAAACCCTGAGAGTCTCAGAAAAGAACATTATATGGCATCCCCACAATATCCCACAGGAAACACAGTAGCGAAGAGTTTCTCTGAGAAAGCTGAGAACATGCCCAACCAGTGTGGCTCAGTGATGGAGCGTGGACCTATGAACTAGGAGGTCACCGTTTGATTTCCGGCCAGAGCATATGCCCAGGTTATCGGCTTGATCCCCAGTAGTGGGTGTGAGGAGGCAGCCAATCAATGATTCTCTCATCATTGATGTTTCTATTTTTCTCTCCCTCTGAAATATATAAAGGAAGAAAGAGAGGGGGAGGGAGGGAGGGCGAGCTGAGGACATGAGGAAACCTGGACTGGCTGCCAGGCTGAAGAGCCCCAAGACCAACAAAAGGGGAGTGATGCCACGGACTGGCCTGCCAGACTGTACACAGCCTTCGTTCTTGGAAGCTCCCTCAGTCTGTACAAACACTGCTCTCAGGACAGCCCTCCACTTGGTGTGACAGAGGGGGAGGGGATCACTCCAAACGCTACCCGGCGCCCTCCCTCCCCCCGCCTTCTAGTACAGACTGGAATAAGGCCGAGGGAGTATCCGTGGGAGCGGGGACAGCTCTGGAGCCTCTTGGTAAGTGATCAGAAAAGTATATTGACCCCAATTGCTGGGGACTCTCAGTGGACCACAGGTCAGTGAACGTCTGTTCATTTTCAGCTTTGGACCCTAATGGCCAATTCAGATTATTTCTTAAAGTTTTTCCTGAAGTGATGGGGAAAATATCGACTCAACATCCAGTTACACTGGAATAACTTTTTCTTCAAAGCCCATTTCAAAGGCTGCTTCATCCTAAAGTGTTTCCTGGTTCCCTCGCAGGCACCATCTCCCCTCCTGTGCCACCGGCAGAGCACTTTCCCAGGGATGCCTCGTCACCAACCCCATTGTGGTGCATGGTGAGAGACCTGGTCACAGCTGGCACACAAACAGCCTTACCAGTCACGGACCACAAACATTTGTTCAACTGAAAAACAAATGGTACCTAACGCCTGCAACATGAGGACACCTACACGAAACAAGTTGTGCAATTAAAGTGAAATGCGATCGATGCAGAGCCTGTGTACATTCAGCTCCATCACCCCAGCACATACACACACTGAAGGGAGTACCGTTCTGTGCTCTGTCATTTCAGTTCAGATCCTGCAATTACCTTTCTCTATCAGTGCTCGGTCTTCTACAAGCATCCTGTTCAGACACTTGCAGAACGTCCTCACATATGCTTCTTAACCGTCAGCTGTTGCCGTATTTTCCCTAGTTATAATGCTGTCATACTCAGAATTTCAAAAACTTAAGATTGTTTATTTTCTTAGGTAATATAATTACTTTAGAATAGTTTTTTTTTATATAGAGGAAGGGAGAGGGAGACAGAGAAACATTGATGCAAGAGTGCAGCATCGACTTGCTGACTCCCGCACTCCCCCCACCCCCCATCCACCCCCCACCCACTGGGGATCAAACCATAACCTGGGCATGTGCCCCAGACCAGGAATAGAATGAGCAACCTCCCAGGGCACAGGATGATGCCCAACCAACCAAGCCACACCGGCCAGAGCTCACGATTACTTTAGACCAGAAGCGACCAATTCAGAATATTTCTTAAAGTTCTTCATGGAAAATATACACCCAGGTTTCCTTCCTCATTAGCCACAGGCTGGTTTTCCTGCGGATCTGGCCTGTCAGGAGCTCTGCTGGGGAAAGGGGAAAGCCGCCCTCTGCTCTGGGCCAGGCAGACCCTGAGCTAACCTCTCGAGTGGGGACAGGGAGAGAGCTGACCACATATGGGGGCAAAGGGTGTGTGAAGGGCTCAGAACACCAGCTACTTGACCATAGCTTTCCCTGTAATTCCTTGAGGTCCTTTGAAACTGCAGTCCTGCTTCCTCATCTGAGCCCCAGGAGAACCTGTGAGGCAGGATGGGCAGGTACCCTTCTGTCCAACAGCTGGAAACAGTCTACTTTATCTCACTGCCCAGGGTCTATCTTAGAAACCAGGTTTCTCTACTTTTTCAAGGTATTCTTCTCACTGTATCTCTTGGATGTGCCCTGAGAAGGATCTGAAGAGGCCACCAAGTACACATATCTTGTAGTCTGACCAGCTGCTGACCTGGGCAGAGTGCAATGGCAACACCTTCACCAGGGCCTGGCACCTAAGAGGTGAGGTCATACACTCTTCGCAGCTCCGCTCTCACTAGCCATGGGCCCGTTCCCTTAGACTAGTGGTCGGCAAACTGCGGCTCGTGAGCCACATGTAGCTCTTTGGCCCCTTGAGTGTGGCTCTTCCACAAAATACCATGTGCGGGCGCGTATGTATAGTGCGATTTTAAAGCATAGTGATTCATCACAAAAACAGTATGTAATTATATATGTTTTCCGATGGTCTGAGGCGACCCCTGTGAAAGGGTCGTTCGACCCCCAAAGGGGTCGCGACCCACAAGTTGAGAACCACTGCCTTAGACCAAGCATGTCAATCTCATGGCCCGCAAGTCGCATACAGCCCACACGAATATTTTTGCAGCCCAGCCAATATAACGGTATGTAAGAAACGTTTTAATAAAAATTTCATAACTTAATTTTTACAATATCCTGTTATACATAATCATTAATGACGAACTACAACGTTCGCTAATGACTGATTACTATCGTCATGTTGCATCCATTTCCCTTACGCGCCTTACGCACAGGCACACCATTTCTCTCCGCTGATACTAGCAGCGAATATTTTAGCAGCCGATGGCCACATCATTAGTCTTGGACTGACTTGTCTGATGTGCACAACAGGAAATATGTCGCTTTCAGAGAACAAGAAAAATAGGTTTATTTGCTTTATGCTTATTAATTTGTGCAGTTATTCAGTGTCTAGTAAGTTCATGTTCAAGAAAAAAATATTATTTATTAAAATGTTCTATTATTTTATGTTAACGATGACTCATTTATTTCAGCCCTTTGTATTTGGCATGTTTCTATCGAAATAAACCTACATTTCTATGAAAATTAAAGCTTTTGTTTTTTTGCAGCCCACATAAACTTAAACCTTGCTTATTTGGCCCATGTTAGCCTTTGAGTTTGACATTCTTGCCTTAGACAATTCAACAACCTAGCATTAGCTGAAAAATACTCTGCTATAAACTGCAAGTTTCCAGCATATGTGAAGTAATCCAGTGAGAATTAAACCATTGTTGATTGTCATTCTTACTGGAATAGAATTCATACAATTTTCTCAAAGGAGAAAAACAGAACATGTATATAGAACCAAGCAGATTCTCTGAATTCTTAACTCAGCATAAGCTAAAAGGGAATGAGGTTTAGCTGATGGATTATTCCAATTAACAGAAAATATAACATATCTACACTTTTTGAAAGTTAGAAAAGACAGAACCCTCCAGTTCCCAGTGACCTTCTCTCAACTGCCCTCCAGCATAGTAGAAACAAATTCTACAATTACCACAAGTCGGTCTCCCTAACAAACGTCTCCCTCAAACATTTAGCTACTCTATGTTCACATACTCCTGCATTTTGGTGGGAATTATTTCCAAGGCCAAGTTAAAAAATAAAACACTTGTAACTAAACATCAGCAATCACTTGTCCTTGAGAAGCCCTGTTGTTGCCACATTTTTTCCCAAGGTCCACTTAAAAAATTAAAAATGTTCACATTCATATAAATCAAAAAACATTCCATCAATGTTCTTATAACATGCTGCACCTCCCACACAAAAAGATTATGAAGCGCTACTGGCACCTCCAAGCCTCCTTGGGAAGTGTCACCCTCAGGACATGCGCAACTGCTCTGTGGAGTAACCCTAAATACAGTATCATAAGAACTCATTCATGTTGACTTGCACTCATGTTTAAAAGCAACTAAAATATGCAAGAGCTAGTGCCGTCCAATACAGTAGCCACTGGTCACATGTGGCTACTGAGCACTCCAAATGCAGGTAGTTCAAACTAAGCTGAGCTGTACATGCACAATATACTCTGGATTTAGAAGTCTTAATATTAACAAAAGAAACAATATTTCATTAATGGCTTTCTTTTTTTTTTATTGCTTAAAGTATTACAAAGGGTATTACATATGTGTCCTTTATTTTCCCCCGCCCTTGACAATCCCCTGGCCTCCTCATTAATGGCTTTATATTGATTATATGCTATCAAAATTTTTTGTATATGTTGGATCAGAAAAAATATTAATTTCACCCTTTGAACTTTTTAATTTGTAAAAATATTTTTTTATTGATTTTAAGAGAAAGGAAGGAAGCAGGGGAGATAGAAACATTGATGATGAGTGAGAATCATTGATTAACTGCCTCGTGCATGCCCCCTCCTGGGGATTGAACCCCCAACCCAGACATGTGCCCTGACCTGGAATTGAGCCATGGCCTCCTGGTTCATGGGTCGACGCTTAACCATTGAACCACACCAGCTGGACACCTTTTTAAAAATGGTGCTACCAGAAAATCTATAATCACTTTGTGACGTGCACTGTAATTCTCTATGAAACAGTCCTGTCACTTCTGACCTATCCTTTCTTATCCAATCTTCTTGACCATCATAAAATAGATTTCTATATTGTAATCAAAGGCAGTCTTTGCTCAGAGGGGGACCCACAAAGGAAACTACAGGAGGGGCAAGTGCTGGCGGAGATTCAAGGCCATTCTTCACAGGCTTCGCAAGAAGGCTGCCTAGAAACAACGCTGCACACAGGCCCAGAGCATCTGGTTTTCAAACCCAACTCACCTGGCAAATGATCATGAACTTCTCGATTGACGGGTGTAGTGCAGACTCTAGTGAAATCCAGAGAGTTATCCAATATGGCATTTATCTTTTGAAAGATACTGGCATTGCTGCATGTGGAGAGGGCATGGGCTTCCTGGTGGTCCCAGCAATCTTTTATCCTTCCTGCTCCCTCCTCCTAGACACAGAACAAAGGTATTCAGGTTTACACTCCTTTAGGACAAACAGAGACTTTCACCCCTTCTATCAACCCCACAGCAGGAGTTAAAATAATAAAGATTTGTCCTGGCTGGTGTTCCCAGTGGTTAGAGCGTCGGCCTGTGCACCAGAGGGGCGCAGGCTTGCTTCCCGGTCAAGGACACATACCTGGGTTGCAGGTTTGCTCCCAGGAGCGTGCAGGAGGCAACTAGGTGATGTGAGATCTCACACTGGTGTCTGTCTGTCTGTCTGTCTCTCTCCCTCCCTCCTTCCACTCTCTCTGAAAGCAATGGGGGGAAAATTCTCTGGTGATGATTGACGAAAAAATAATAATAAAAGTAAGGAGGGTTCATGTTTCCTGCTTATATATTAAAATACTTAATGAGTGTTTACTGTGAGCAAGGTGCCAAGAAAACTGCCTCAAGTGCCTTCTACAGTAATGGGATTTACCTTGGCAAGGTAGTAGCGAGGGGAGTTTAAGAACCAGACATACCTGGTCCAGAGCCTGGGGTATGTCTTTACAGTAGCATATTATTTCCCAATAAACGGGAATGGGGTATTGATACAAGTTACTACATGGATAAACCTTGAAAATATTAGGCTAAGTGAAAGAAGCTAGTCACAAAGGACCAAATATTATATGAGCCCATTTATTCAAAACATCCAGAATAGCAAGTCTAAAGCAGATTAGTTGCCTTCAACAAGGGAGTGGGAGAGAGATTAGGAGGTGGTGGCTATGAGTACGAGGTTTCTTTCTGAGATGATGAAAATATCCTCATTAGATTATGACTGCAAACCTCTGTAAACATACTAAATATCATTGAGTTGCACATTGAGAGGTGAACTGTATGGTTATGTAACTTATATCTCAATACACTTGTTTAAAAAGTATGGTTCGGCCACTTATTGGCAATTAACCCCTGTGCCTCAGTTTCCCCATTTGTGAAATGGAAAGTATCCACTAACCTTCAACCAGGTTTCCAAACTGTCAAAGGCCCCACTTAATATTAAAAAAAAAAATTAACCTATTTTTTATTTACTACAACAGGCCCTGACCACACTTACAGGAAGGTCAATGACAACTGTATGTGAGTGTTAGAAGGGGACAATGAGCAACCCCCTGAAAGATGGAGGCAGGAAAGCCAGGGAGGGAAGTGCCTCAGTTGTCTGGGGAAAGATGCAGACCTGGAGGCCTCAGAAAAACTTCCCCAGGAAGAAGGGAAGATCTGAGACTCTCACTATCTGAAGCCGTCTTTAAAAACCTAATTAGGAGTATGCCTGTCCAACGGTGCCCCATTCCCAATCCTATTAGGTACATACACCACAACCTCCACACTCAAAGCAAATGACATCTGAACGACTCCCTCCCTCCCTTCTCTCATGTACACAAATGAGAGATGCAGAGGACACTGAAATGAGAATAAAGGTAAATGAAGTATTCCATTTATACCCAAATGGCATAATCACATCAGTAAGTACCCAACTGTTTGCCCTGAGTAACGAATTTGGAAGGGGGCGGCGGGGAGACCAAAGCCAGCAATGTCAGAGGGGAACAGACCTACAACCTCCCTATTGGGTACAATAGGAATAAAAGTAGTAACACCATCTCACAGGGATTTTGTGAATCAATAACGAACATGCTGGGCACAGTACCTGGTACATGATTATGTGCTGAACAAATGGAAGTTGGCTATCAGAAGTGTCATTATTATGACACCAAGGGGTCAGAGGCCACCAGAGGGACTCTTGAAGAAAAGAATCTATTGGCTCATAAAGGAGAAAAAGGTACTTGACCAACTATTCCTTTGTAGACCCCAAGTCCTTCCATGTCTACTCTTGCTAATCCGTTGATTTGAAAAGCTCAATTCAAACACTAAACACATAATAGAAATCAGACTTTCTAAAACCTGAACCTACTAGATTATAGGGATCCTTTCAAACTCTCCAGTTAAATGAATTCAGTTTTCATTTTCAAAATACACACACTATCCACCTCTCTACTTACAGACTCATTACTTTGTATATTCTATCTGACTTTGATCGCTTTATAGGTCTGAGTTCATACCCATGTTTTCCCCCGAGGAAATGTTTCCCCCCCATGGTTTTCCTACTACTGCCTTATAGCTTTCACTGTGATTTTTGGCATATCCTATCTCCGTGGTCAGCAAACCGCAGCTCGCAAGCCACATGTGGCTCTTTGGCCCCTTGAGTGTGGCTCTTCCACAAAATACCACATGCAGGCGCACACATACAATCCAATTGAAACTTTGTGGAAGAGCTGGTATTTTGTGGAAGAGCCGGTTTTGTAGAAGAGCCACACTCAAGGGGCCAAAGAGCCGCATGTGGTCGCAAGCCACAGTTTGCCGAGCCGCAGTTTGCCAACCACTGTCCTATCCTATAAAATAAAAGCCTAATATGCAAATTGCCCCTTGGGCGGTCTTTCCACCGAGAGTTCGACCGCTCACTATGACGTGCACTGACCACCAGGGGGTGGCACGAAACATGGTGGGCATCAGCGATGCAGTGCTGGCAGCGGGTGGCAGTGGAGGCGCTGCCCGCCCCAATGGGACCCCAAGGAGAGCGGGAGTGGGACCGGGATGCAGTGGGATGGTAGACCAGGTGAGCGGGCGGCACCAGATAAAGGCAGACAAGAGCGGGGACCGATCACCCGCAACCAATTGCCCCGCAGATAGGGACCAGCAGCAGCGGCAGGGCCCGCACTTGGCTCCTAGGCACTGAAGTGGAGGTGGGGGGCGGCCCCGACTGATCGCCCCACAGGCAGGATGGTGGACCAGGTGAGAGAGCGGCACCAGGCCAAGGTAGGATGTCAGGCGGGGCTGCAAAGCTGGGGGCACAAGCTGGGGCCTGATCTCTGCAGGCCACCCCAAGGGACCCCACCTGTGCACGAATGGGGCCTCTAGTTTGCCATAAAAAGACCATTTGCAGTCCTGGCTGGTTTGGCTCAGTGGATAGAGCGTTGGCCTGCGGACTGAAGGGTCCCGGGTTCGAGTCCTGTCAGGGGCATGTACCTTGGTTGTGGGCACGTCCCCATTGGGGAGTGTGCAGGAGGCAGCTGATCGATGTTTCTCTCTCATCGATGTTTCTGGCTCTCGATACCTCTCCCTTCCTCTCTGTAAAAAATCAATAAAATATAAATAAAAAAAGAGACCATTTGCAGCTTTTTAAAAAAACTTTTATTTGGTCTTTCACTATGGACAGGAAAGTAGGTTTTAAGACAAAGACTTACAAGAGAGGGCAAACCTTAGTGCTACTGTGAATCATGGATCAACAGGAAGAAATAATCAGCAATGCTAGAAAAGAAAAACAACAATTCTTAGTTACTGGTTAAAAATGGCCTCAAAATAAAACTAGATGTAAATGTCAGAGAGGATGGCTCATGAGGAATCTCTGCTAATACAAGCTATTATTTTAGCAGGTATCAATTTTCCTCTTTTCAAGCAGATTAACAGTTGACATTCCTATCATGAAACAGTGGTTTCCGCTGGTAATAATCCTTGAAGGAGAAGGGAAGAGAGGGGAGACTACCATCTGAAAAAAGCACCCCCTTTTTCCACAGGGGAAGAATTCTCCCCAAAACTGTGATTCACCGTTTTGCAGAACAGAAAAAACACAGGCCTTGAAGTACATATACTAAGTTCACTGCTTAGGTATCTTCTCTGAGCCTTGGATGCCTTAGGTATAGAATGGAGTACCACCTAGAGAAATACATAAAGCACCTGCATTAAGTATGCTTATAAGTAATGTATTTAGTGGCAGATGTTCCCTGATTCCACAGTTGATTAAGTTACTGTTACTCAGAAGCATACTTTCAAGGTATTCACGGTTGTCAGGTTCACCAGATGCTTATGTATGTGTTCAGAATGTAACAGGACCATTTGCTGGGGTTTTTTTGTTTTTGCATTTGTGAAACACTCGGAAGGTTTAGTGTTAAGACATTTTCTCAAACCCAGGCAAGAAAAGCAGTAGGAGCCCCAGCTCCGGTTTTGCTCAGTAGACAGAGCATTGGCCTGTGGACTGAAGGGTCCGGGTTCGATTTTGGTCAAGGGCACGTGCCCGGACTGCGGGCTCGATCCCTATAGGGGGCGTGCAGGAGGCAGCCAAGCAATGATTCTCTCTCATCATTAATGTTTCTATCTCTCGCCCTCTCCCTTCCTCCCTGAAATCAATAAAAATATATTTTAAAAAAGAAAAGCAGTAGGATGGTGGAGCTGGCATAACCTCCTGAGCAGCTAAATTCAGCCTCTTCAAGTCAAAAACCCAAGGGAAGTTTGTGTTTCATCTTAAAACTCCTGAGTTTAATCAAGCAACACCTCACAGTCATTCTGGGAAGGTGGGGGGTGGGCAGGAGGAGGGAGGGCAGGAAAAGGCCCTCTCGTCCACAGCTTTCCACTCCGCTTGGGGGATACAGCCATCCATGAAGACCCAAGGAGCCACAGTGAGGGGGACCACCAGCACTTAAGCCCCACCCAGAGTGGTGGGTGTGAACAGACAAGCCCAAGTGGGGCCTCTAGTGGTAAAAACCACCCCACCACCACTCAGACAGCTCTTTCCCCCAAGAGGTCACTAGAGCAGAGCTGCAAAAAACAGGAGACTAATTGGGTGGAGGGGATAGAATCAGATTAGCCCCAGGAGATGAAGCCATTGGTTCTGCTTTCAGACCTGGTGGGTTTAATATGCCTCAGACACACACATTATCCAGGAGGCCAATCAGAGCCAGGGGTCTTGAGAACAATCAGAGCTAAAGAGCTCCACCTAAAACTTGATCAGGACGAGGGAGCGGGTGCTGTGGGCACACACAGGCCCTCTGTGTGAGAGGACAAGCATGAGCCAACAGAACCAGCCACAGGGAATGCGGCATTCGGGGGAGGAGGAAGCCTGCAAGTGCCGGGCAAGAAAGGATCTATCGGACAGAAGTGGGGGAAAGGAAGCCACAGTCTTATGAACCATAAGTAGGAATT